CTTAGCACCCCCTGCCTCGCCGTTACCATGGTCGCCACCATGACCAGGAATAGCGAGGCCGCCGGGAACTAGGAGCCGTGGCCTTTTGTGCCTTTTCATTTGGGGGATATGCCCATAATCGCCACGCTGGGCAAGCGGGTTGGCGATCGCAGTATGGTCAAGTTCTGTGGCCCGCACAAGAAGACGCTGCTGCCCATCTCCTTGGGTTAAATTTCCCTTAGTCGCCTCTTACGACACCCACGGGATGAAAAGGGGGTAGTACAATTCTATACCGGTAATACACGGGTTATACCGGTACTACACGGGTTTATTGTGATAATACATATTAATTTGGTAATGACATGATTTATGTAAATGTCATTACTTACGATAAAGATCTGGTAAGTTTCTTTCGCTTGTTCTTCTTGTCAGCTAAAAGACGTCCTGAACAAGTGGTAGGGGAAAAAAAAAATCTTTGGACGATTCAAAAGTGCTTGTAATAGCCTACTTGAATAAAGATATTTTCATTTCATTTCATGCATTTCATATAAAAACTTTCAATTTTTATCAATAATACATAGTGGTAAGCGCCCAATAAAGCAAAACATCATCTTTTTAATAGAAAAAAAATATGTACCACCTACCTATTATTGTTTTCTATTTAGTTATGAACAAATTAAATATTATTCTGCCAGACAGATCAAACAAAGAGGGAAGTTTTGGGAAAAAAAATATAGAAACCACTTATTTTTATTCTTTACTGAGAAAAATGATACTATTGTTATTTTTCAACGTCTAATATAATAACCTTAACTATTAACTAATACTATTTGCACTATTAAAACGATATATTTAAAAATACGGAAAATTAGAAAAAAAAATTAAAATAAATATATTTTTAGCTTTTAAGTTATTATATGAATGATACTTTTAAATATTTTTTCCAGATATATTTCATGTATGTTTATAAAATAAAGATGTAAAAGAGTAGTCTACACCCCTATGTGAAAAACAGTTTAGCTTTCGTTGAAAAAATAGCATATCAGCATTATAAAAAATCTAACCACACTCCTATTATCTAGGTATTTTTCTAGAAATTTATATAAGTTGAAAAGACAATTTTCTACGTTGACTAAATACCAATTAGTTCATCAAACTGTCCTATCCACAACTAGTACCTAATTCTGCTGTTGTGGGCATTATTAGGGTTCGGTGGGAACCCTAAAAGATAAAAGATAACTGCTGTGCGAGTCTCTCCAAAACTTTGGATTGTCTGAAATTTGGTACACATGTACGTTAATGCCCAGAAAGCGGTCATGCAATATAAATTAAAGAATTTCAAACAGGTTCACTGTTCTTAAACATGGTTCTAATTAATTACAAAACAGTATATGCGCCTTAAACGATTAAAGTAGCTTGTAGTGAGTTAATTATAATTACCTTACCTATATATTATTTTGTGAATAACGCGGCTCGTAACATAATTAAGGTAATTTTGTTAAACCATTGTATTGTACGCAATATTATTTTTGTTTGTTGTTCCAAATAAAAAAATGTCTCTTTTCCTCACTCACCCTTATACTGAAACTACAACGCTTTAAAGTTTAAATGGAAATGTAAAAATTGATTTTTATCTATAGATTAAAGAAAAATCTATTAGTCTATGGTTCGGAACCCATACGTTCAAGTCCGATTCACTTTTGGTCGGTTTTTTATATATCCCTACCAAATAAAACTTTTGTTGCATCGAGGTAAACATTTTCGATACCGGTTCAAACTGGTTAATTCGTGTGCAATCTAGAAATAGACTAGCATAATATTTGTCTAGCCAACTGTGCGACAATACATTGTCAATGTCATGATGTTTTAATCTTTTTTCCATTCACCACGTAATTCTCTATATTCGGAAAACGTGAATTCGTAATAAATTAATGAATGCAATTTATAAAAAGTCGACACTTACTTTTTGTGTGTTTGAATAAATAATAATTTACCTACCTATGAAAAGTTGACATGATACTGTCACCAGCACGTGGTATATCATACAAAACTGACTTTATCCGCCCGATTTCAAACCTTGATCTGTTGAAATTAGAGTACAAAATTAACAACGTCAATTTCACAGATTGCGGTAACTTGGTGTGCTCTCTGTAAATACATCCTAATACCGTGTCATAATCTCGTGTTAATTAAAATTGGCATTTTAACCGACAACCCATAAGACCTACATGGCGTCTGTAGACCGATGAGATCCTGAAAAATCAATAGGTTTTATACCACGGATCCTCAATAAGAATTTACGATGTTTCGTTGTTCTACGCTCTTGTTGTTTAATAAACACTTTAACGCATTACTTTCGCGTTCTATAAAAGCCATTATATTTTTTTTTACAAATTTTTTATAAAGAAACTTCGAAAACAAAGAAATTCAAAAACTACCTTGTAAGTATCTTTAACTGTATCATATTTAAATAACATCACAGACTATCATCAACATTTTTAGAAGTATTTCCATTATACGTGATATCCAACAACAGGAGCATGGACTGTAAATTATAGGGTATGTTCCGATATACACTGCGAGCACTGCGCAGTGGTCTTACTGCTGAAAAATCCGTTCCGTTATGGACTGCCAGTACACTGCTACAGTACCCTAGGGAAATTTATGACGTCATAAATTGCCGCCATATTTGTACTGTGAGCACTGGAGATTTCGAGGTAAGGTGCTCGCAGTGCTTTTGATCACGTGATCAGTCGAAACAGAATCAGAAAATGATAAGTTTCTAAATAAACAAAAAAAAAATACTTACGTTTACTATAAGATGGATTTAATTGATAAATAATTATTTTATAATATTTTCTTTTGAAAAGAGGGAATCTTTATATTTATATTCACCTTGCATTAACAAATTTGAAAATGGCGCCAAAAAATAGGATTAACAGTATACTGGACTGCGTTCCGTTTTAAAAAGTCACCAGTATAACTAGCTATAAAGTAACGGGCTTCCAGTATACTAAATTGACGTCATACTGTTCAGTGGTCGCAGTGTATATCGGAACATACCCATAAATTAGAAGAAGAATACGCAGAAACACACAAGATACACAGATATAGACAGGCAGCAAAGTATAAAGAAATAAACAATAAGTAACATCATGTTCGAAATAGAAAATATATATAAAAACACTATTAAAAGAGTCTGGTAATGCTGTCGTCGTTCTCTTCGATTAGAATCACTGTATAACATTATACTTATCATTTAAATAATTGGAGTACCTCAGTGCTACAAACATAAGTACATTATTATTATTAGGTATCGACCCATATGATATTTATCGTAGTGATGGATGTGAACCGGTTAAATAATAACGAGGGTACATTTTCTGTTATCACCGGTTTTCGATCAACTGATGTTTTTGTGATAGGAAATTTTAATCTAGGTTGCTAACAGATTTATTCGACATGAAACTTTTTTAATTAACCGTAATGACCATTTTTCTCTGTAACCTTATATACCAGTTTATTTTATTTGTATTTACTTTCAGATATAGTAAATGGTTCGTTATATGAAACATTATAATTTCCTCTATCTCTACTATATATTTCTCTACACTTTATTTTAAAGTAGACGTTTTCCCGCGTAAATTACAATCTGTCACCCGCGTATGATGTAGCTTTCCGTGAGTGAAAGAATTCAAAAAATCGGACCAGTATTTTTGCATCCTATGCTATGCAAATAAAAAAGTAATAACATCTTTCGTCTTTACAATAAACTAACTTTCCGCCAGCGCTTTGCCCGCGTAGTATCTATTATACTTATAAATAAACCTTCATCTTGAATCGTTAAACATTTACCTTAGCATACAGACAATGGAAAGCACTTTGCTTTATACTATGAATAGATATAATGACATCATTACTTTATTTAAACTTTAATTATTTTATTCGTTGTTATTGCAAAGATAAAAACGTATTTCAACCATATCTGTGCATTTTCAATTTATAAGAGGTATCTTTTTTGGATGCTGGACAAAACTGCATTCCGAAACGCAAAGACTTGTTGACAAAATAAAGTAGGGCGAACACAATAATATCTCAACAGTAATTAATGAAATGCTTGATTTTATATTTATAACGAATATGATTGGACTTCTCTTTGGATTAGTTTGTATATCCCTAATGCGACCATTTTTTTTTCGTGTCAAAGTAGGACGTCTACGGAATTTCTATATAAGTCGATGTAAGGTGTCCCACGGAAGAGTCTTATGAAATAGCCGCCGCCGTCGCACCACCAATGTTTGTTCTTTTTATATGTGTGTAAAATAGTTTTTCCAAATCCTTTTCCCTGTAATAGGGGGGGTGTTGGAGAGTGTTGCGCCAGAGCATTGCTTGCACCCAGGCGGAGAAACTCCCAGCTAGTTTGGTACAAATCGGTTCACAATTATGGTTCCGTGTCCCTTGACAATAAATTCCTCCTTTCCGAATGTATCCAAAAACGCAATCTTTTATTTTCCCTGATGTAAACATATCATCTAAATATTTTAGGTGATATCTGATGAAAAGCTTATTTTGTTTTATTATAAAAGGAAAATACCGATTCGATTTCAATAAAATTCAAATAGGACCACCACGGCCCATTAAGATGTCGAATAAAAAAGTTATTTTGAAAATCGATTCATAATTGGCAGAGTAATCGCGTAAACAACTCACAATAAAACAAACAGTCGAATAGAGACTTCCTTTTTAGAAGTCTGTTAAAAATTGGGTTTAGGGATGCCACCACCTAACTCTCTAGCCATGAGATATGACATCTTAGTGATGTTATGGCTATATTAGTTTCGGTAGATAAACGAGTAAATTGGTAATACAGCTATCAAATCCTTAATTATCATTCTTTAGCTTTCATTCGTCCATTTTTAGGATACATGTCAAAGTAGTAAAATTAAACTACATATCAACATAACATTGTTAAAGAGCCAGGCGGCCGCTCCCCAGATATGTAAAAAGGAATAGTTACGCACCTTCAACATGCGTATCTCGCGTAACGCTATTTTCCTGATGAGTGGGTCGTCCTCGTTCTCGACGAACTTTTTAACGGCGACTATCTCACCCGTGTCCCGGTTACGACATTTGTACACTAGCCCATATGATCCCTCGCCGAGTTTAGCCAGTTTCTCGTAGCGCTCCATCGCGCGGCTGCTGGCGCGCGACCTGGGACCAAAATATTCAAATAAAAAACGGCAAAGTGCAAAACAGACTCGTGCACGATGGTTCTATCCGACAAGCAGACAGACGGACGGACGAACGGAGTCTTAGTAACAAGGTCCCGTTTCTTAACCTTTGGGTAAAGAACCTTAAAAAATACTCAAAAACTTTACCTTGTGTAAACATGAAGAAACGAAAGTATGACAACACATAGGCTCGAGACAATATAGAAAAGTTAATTTCTATATTCACCTGGCCGTGTAGGAATCGAACCCCAGACAAAGCAAGGTGTGAGCACGCGGACACGGAATTCAGACGTGAGTGTGCTGAAATAGACTAATTACCACCTTTATAGAAGGGTGTTTTTTAGCTTAATACCACACGGGTGATTCTTGGGAAATGTGTTCTCCGTGTAATTTCCAGGGCATTTTTGAAATCGCAAAATTATGGTAAATTATATAAATATTTCGAAAACTTCTGCAAATTTAAACAACATATTAAAATTGGCCACGACTGAGATCTATACTTTTGCTAAAAAAAAATGTAGAAAATTGGCGGACCATGGAAATTACAATAAAGGCAATGGAAATTACACAGCAGCTAAAATTTTGCTAAACACCATGTCATATATGAAATTAAGCTGTCATATTAGCTAGGGTAGTATTAAGATCTACCTACATCATACTGAAACGATATACGATAGTAGTTACTCAAAATTGGAACGAAACGTAAACACGTTCATGTTCTCAAAAAACAAAATATATTCAACGTGTTATGGAAATAGCGCAAAACCTCTCAGGTGGTAGCTCGGCCCATGAAACTGAACAACTTTCACTATGAGACCAACATTGAAATTTCAGCATCTGGCAAATTTTTCGAAGTAACGTTACATTGGACAAACAAAAGTCGGGCGTCGAAGTAAGAAGATATGCGATGTATTGAAACTTCGAACAATGAATGCTTCGACGTACTCGTATAGTTGTCGATGTATCAATTATCGAAGAAACGTGTTTCGAAGTGACATAGATAACCCTTTTTCGAAATGGTTATTTATTTTGTCAATTATCTTATAAAATACGCATCCTACATCAAATATCAATAATTAGTTTATTGTAAATTTAATTGGCTTTCATTTAACATCAAATTGGTACCTGTAGGGCCAGTGGTTTTCTCAAAAACGATAGATAGCGAACACCGGTCATAAGTAGATATTAGGAGGTTATTTCAGTCAAGATAACCCCCTTTGGCTATCTATCGTTTTTGAGAAAACCATTGGCCCTACAGGTACCAATTTAGTGTTTAATCAAAGTAAATTTTTACAATAAATAAATAAATTATATAATATGTTAACTTAATCCGGTGTAAAAAATGTCCTTGTGACTCTGTTAACTTCAAACAGACGACAGCGAAAGACAGATGTTTTAAACTTGAATTTGTTTAATCACAATTTGAGAATTTGAAGATGATGATCAAAGTTTGAAATGATATTTAAGACGATTTAATTTAAAAAATTACCATCATTCAACATTTAAGTCTGTATTTGGCGATGGCGTGCATTTCATTGAAAACAAACATTGAACATAACGTTTGTTTTTTTGCAACCAAAAAGAAACAAGGTAATTTCCATGGGTGATACGTAATTTCCATGGTGTTTTATCCATGGAAATTACACCATGGAAATTACCAAAAAACATATATTTTGAAATTACTCTGCATTGAAAAGATATAACCGGCTAGTTTTTTACTGTTTATCTACGTTATAGAGCTAAGTATTTCACCTTAAAACCCATTTTCTAGAAGAAGTACAATTACATTGAAAAAATGTGACATGGCAAAGCCGGATAACTGAGAACCAAAATTTAAGAAATTGAAGAACTTATTTTCGCAACGAAAGCGCGGGCAACAGCGACGTGACCACCTCACCTGCTAGCTGTGGCGTAAATGACGATTCGCAAACACCAATCGGGGTTCGCCTACGCCTCTCCAGCACAGAGCAGTATCTCGCGCAAGGCGCGCCGCGAAAATTTTGCTAAGCGTGTGACACGTATACTTCTGACCATAAAATCAAAAGTTTCCTTCCGATTAATTTGAAATTTAATCAATATGTAAAACGATTTGTCTTTTTTAAATGTGTGTAACAAACTGATTAAAAACGTGGGTAATTTCAAAAATATTTGCGATTGCTCAAAAGTCGGCGCGCGTGTGACACGGTAAAAACGTGCAAAATTGACCGGATTTGAGGTGTTGAGGGTAAGTTACTCCGATCTACGTCGTTTTTTATCCATGAAATCTATATGACACGATGCTTAATGAAATGAAGAAACGATGTAATAGTAGTTTTAATCATCATAATTTAGTTTTATAGGAGATATGTCCCTGTGACACTCAAAAATTGCTTTTTCAAGAAGTACCCACACCGGTTTATTTTCATTTCTCTGAATCCCACGTGATCGTTTCAGTCGGATTAATGTAGAAAAATAAAATACTACTACTAATATTATAAACGATTTGTTTGTTTGGTTGAACGCGCTAATCTCAGAAAGTATAAATTTGATAAATATTTTTTGTGTGAAACAGTCCCTTTATTGAGGAAGGTTATATGCTATATCTGCGCGGTGTATGGCCTCCGGGCCGATCCCGCGCCTCGCCTACCATGAGAGGGACATCGCTGAGTTTTAGTGGGTAAACTCCTGTTTCTTGAAACATCACGCTATGACTAATAGGAGTGGAGCAGCAATTAAAAATGTTGTAAAAACGAGAAAATCAAGCCAGTGAAGCCGCTGGCGGAAAGCGAATAGATAAATAAATGTCGTCTTCTTTGATCTTTAGGATAGGTGCGTATCTGACGAAAGATACGTCGCGTAACAGCCATCGCGGAACGACAGAACCGAGAAAACTTAAAGTATGACGTTCAATCTTTCATAATCGACAGATAATCCGCTAACGCAAACCTCCGTGATGCTCTCGACTTATTTTCCATCATATTTATAATTTTCTTTAAACCTTGCAAGTTAATGACAGTACATTCTAATTTTTAACTTCGTGTATTATTATAATGCAGATACACATTAACTGCATTTTCAACCTTTAATATCGAATAAAAGTATACTGGAAAGCTAGTTAAAGACTTATTTCAAAGGTCAACCCCGCCTACCGTTGATTATACTGCCGATATACTTTGAAAGCTTTCAGTTTCTGGCTAGAATTTATTTTATTTTTGCTACTATTTACTAGATACATGAATCTCATTTTTATATTTAGGTACTAGTTACAGACAGACGGACAGCGGAGTCTTAGTAATAGCCCCGTTTTTAACCTTTGGAGGGGTTATTCCCCGGGTTAGCTCCTACCCATCGGAGTACCGATCGGAGGACTGGGAATGATCCCTATTGGGTACTGTATCCTAAATATTTAGCAAAAACGACACTGACCTCGCTATCACGATTTCTGGAGAAATAATAGCCCTATTTATTTCTCCTCTCATGATGTCTTAAATTTCAACAGTTTCAATTTAGCCATTGATAAAGTTAAACTAAATTTTTTGAATTCGTCAGCACTACAACATCGCCTTATGACACCGCTGAGCAACACGTTATTATTACAGTAGGGTAAAATAATTTATTTGTTTATCATATCGGCATTAATAAGGATGTAAATACGGAATTTTGCTGCCATCAGCTGTTTATCATATTATAAAATTTGACAGAATGCCACTTTTGACAATACAGAAAGAAGAAATAAGTCGCAATTTCAATAAAGAGTTATTATTCTACCACACTTTTGTGTTATTGTAATAGCTGTTTGCATGACTTTGCCCGCGTAAATTTATAGAATTAATGATTTTTTTTTTCGAAATCCGTCCAGTAATTTCATAGTATATTCAATGTAAGCAAGCAATGAAATCTTTCCTGTTTATAATATTATTCTAGAATACCACCTTACCTAAACCGTTTTTCTTGCTACTTTTCGCTTTTACAGAATTTCCAAAATTTATTAGACTCGTTTTACATCAGTTCTTAATTCGTTTCGGGTACCATTCAGTTTCTAGATTTTAAGTTCAAAATGAAAGAAACCAAAACTATGTAAATTTTCCGCGGCAAAAACTACAATTTTCGTAGCAGAAAACTAAGCTACAGTAATGCTACGAAGTAGAAATATTTCATATAAGAAACGAAACATTAAAAATGTCTGTATAAGGGTTAGTTTTAGCATAAACTATTATAATTGCTTATATTGTTAAGATCACCGATACAACAGATAACACCGATTATAATGATTATTTTGAGGTTTACGCTGTGGCTAATTTTACTTTATATCATGTCGTTTTCTATTCACTTTAACCGCTCCTGACTAAAATAAAGTAGTTTTGAATGTATTATCAATCATTTATTTAAAAAAAAATCTATAAGAAGATGTTTTCCTTAAAAGTTGTTGATGTAGTATTAGATTTTGAAAACCAATTCGCGTTACTGTATATATTCTTTGAATTAGGTTCTGACGCGAGAGAAATCTTGATCAGATCCTTCAACCTTGTCCGTACCGTTTGAGAGCCCAAGACTTAACCACATAAGTCTTGATTCAAGTCAACAAAAAACACTTATATTTCCTTTTAGTGAAGAACTTTATATAAATACCTCCTCGGTAGCAGCGGCAGGTTGTTACCGAATAACCACAGCCGCTTATCACCGAACCATTTCTCCATACAGGACGCCACGTTGTTCCACAGTTTGAAGCCTGATCGGTCCACAGACAATACCACGCTACACATTCGCGCTCCCTAAGGCACCGTGCATTTCCCGCCCGAACAACGAAACAAACAATATGGCGTCAAATAAAGTTTTTTTTTATTACGTTTAATTTATAACACTGGCTTTACTTACGAAGGCTGAAGAGCTTTTGCTCTAGCTGGCTGATATATCGATCGACCGTTGTGTTTACAGTTTGTGTCGACCTGTGTACATGACAACCGCAGCGGTGGTGGTAGGGAAAAATGTAGCCTAGTGGTCTGAACACATTTAAAAAAAATATATAAAAATACAATATTCTTTTTTACAAAGTATCATATGAATAAAAATATTGATCATCCTCCTATAATGCCTGCAACTGCATGTTACTATTAATGAGTGAATATAAGTTATTTCTAAGTCTATAAGAGTGTTATATGTTAATGTATATAATACCAATAACTTAAAATAATGGAATACTCAAAACATAGCTCAAAACGCTTTTACATAACATAAATAATAAGATTTTCTTTGTGAATAGGAAATAAAATGTACATCTCTTGGTCTATAGCGTTTTCATCAGTCATTTGCCTTTTGGAATAAAAGTATAACCAATTGGATAGTACTTATGTATGTTACAGTTGGTGAAATTGTTAAAGAAGGAAAACATATTTTATTTATTTTCACAACGCAAACGTTTTACAAAAATATTTAAAATACTAACCCGCTGACGCCGCGAACTTTATGGTGCCTGTTCTTGAAAATTTCCACATAGAGAAAGTCTCTGTTTGTCGCTGATAATGAAGCTTTATACTTGCGTAAGAATTTTCTAAATCAAACCAGTAGTAGGTACCTTTATATTATGATATCATCCATCAAAAACAAAAAAAAATAGGGATGATGACTGGGCCCCAAGGCAGAACAACGAGCCACACTGCGACATTGTCGCAGACAGCCGAGTAAGTCTGCAGACAGTTCGGCAGTCTTACATAAATAAAAAAATTACACTAGCAGAAACAGAATTTTTATGGCGTGCGGAAAATTAAGAAAATGAATGAATTTATTGTGACGAAAAAGTAATCTTTCAGCAGTGGAAAGAAATAAAAAAAATAAATTTTAATTATGTGTTAGATGTACACATCGATGTGTAGATAAACCAAATTCGGGCCCTAGATCTTATAATATTTTTTTATAGAATTTGTAATATTACTTCATAGAAATATATAAAGTATTTAATGTATAAATCGGATCCTGAGTAGTATCTTAAACAATACCGGGATAATGGTTTGAAAGAATCGCGTTGATCGTGATTTGCGAGGATATTTCAACTAAAATTCTTGCAGGCATATTTTCAGGTTTTTATAATCTGTCGCAGACAAATCAAAACCCTTCTGCTATGGGGTGACTGGGTAAAAAAAATGCAATTCTATTTAGTCCGTCAGTCAGATAATGGAAAAATATTAGGTACGTATTTTTTTTTTACTTCAATTTAACAAGAAATAGCTTAGATAACAGGCATTAAAGTTGAGAAGTGGGGGCTCGCTACGTCACAGTTGTGTAGAAATTTCAACTCCATGTAACGCAGTAAAAAATACTTGTTTAATATTTTTTAACACTCTACCTGACGAACAAACAAACAAAATTAGTCATCATCACTATTCAACAACAAATAAAACCATTTAGTCGAGTTGAGTACCTGCATTTTTGAATTCATAATACAACTGGTTCATAATACAATTACGGCTTAGACTTGGTTTAGACAAACAAAATTAAAATATTTATTTTTATTTTATTCCTTTTCGTGAACCGTTAATTATGCATACACATTATTTATTTTTGGAATGTACTCATCAAGACCTTTAAATTTATACCCATGTTGCTATAATTTAAATAACAACCTTTTTTTTTAAATGGCGCAATACATCCGCCATACATGTTGCATACTAGCTTTTGCCCGCGACTTCGTCCGCGTGGTAAAGTTACTTTGAGCAGCATTTCTAACGGATATTTATTCATTATATCGTGTAAAATACCTGAAAAAAAAGTCTTATCCTCTTAGCTTATGCCCGTAGGGGTGGAATTTATCAAAATCCTTTCTTAGGGGATGCTTACGTTATAGTAGCTTTATGTATGCAAAGTCTCAGCCCTTAAAATTGACAAAGTATCATACAAACTCTCATCCCCTATTTTATCCCCTTGGGGGTGGAATCAATCAAAATCCTTTTTTAGAGAATGCCTACGTCATAGTAGCCTTATTTATACAAAATCTCAGCCCTATCGGTTTAAAATTGACAAAGTTTCATACAAAATTTCATCCCCTATTTTATTCCCTTGGGGATAGAATTGATCAAAATCCTTTCTTGGTGGATGCCTACGTCATAACATCTACCTGTATGCCAAATTTCAGCCCGATCTGTCCAGTGGTTTGGGCTGTGCGTTGATAGATCACTATGTCAGTCAGTCGCCTTTGAGTTATATATATTTAGATTATTTTCCCGTGGGAATGCCTCATTTTCCCGCGGTAAAAATTAGCCTATGTCCTTTCTTGGGTATTAAAATATATCCATACCAAATTTCATGCAAATTGGTTCAGTGGTTTAGGCGTGATTAAGTAACAGACAGACAGAGTTACTTTCGCATTTACAATATTAGTATGGATTTAAACAATGTAGTCACTGATATTCGGAACACCCTATACATTCCTATCCGTATAAATTAACTAAGGAATACCTTATTTGTTACCACGGACGTTTATAGGAATTAAATAGAGAAGAAATAAAAGTTTTTGTGCTCTGAAGATCACTTTTTGGTTTTGCAGGTTACTACGTGTTTGCTTTCCAGTGTCGATATGTAAAATGTTATAGTAGGGGAACCCAAGGCGGTATTCAGGGATTTACTAAAGCGCGGCAGACATTAACGTAATATTATTTAGTGCACTTAGTTGTATTTAGTCATTTTCTAGAAACATAGGTTTTCTAATGGCCTATGGTTGTATCGATTTAATGCTTATCCTATATACACATTGAATAAAGAACAAGTAAAACTTTAGCACTGATTTGTTCTTAAAGTATTCTTTAATCAAGCTCAAGCTCCTTTATCTTCTTAATCTATTCTTTTATCAAACATTAGGCTATATTTTGATCAATATTAAGTTATTTATAGAGATACAAGTCATAAAAAGATCGTAATTATTTTTTAAGTAAAATTATTTTATGTATTGTATTGTAATCAGTGGCGTAGCTACTAAGGGGCTAGGTGGGGCAGTGCCCCGGGGCCCTCAAGCTCAGGGGGCCCTCGAATCTTTACTAGAAAATCTCAATCGAACTCAACTTTTGAAAATTTCTCCCATCTTCAAAATAAAAATGACAGGTGACAATTCGAGTTTAATCATGGAAACTCAGTTGTGAGTAATTCCAAAGTTATAATTAGGTACCCTCGTTTGCGTCGCGCAGTAGGGTAAAAAGGGAATTCCCGTAAATTATTTGTGTGGGTTGACAGTGTTATTAATGTTTTCATCAATTTGTTGGATATCAATATCTGCATATTATTATTTATCGATATGCGTTTTTGTGATTCGCGATTGTGAACTTTGAGTCAAGACTTTTTTTCGAGAATGGTTAAAAAGTTATATATAAGCGTATGTCAATTTTTTGTACTGGTCCATACAAAAGTTCAATTTTATTTGATTGTAGTCCGTCAAACCGTCAAATGTGGTAACACTGGCGGCGATAGAGTGTTTGCCGGGGATTCCCCAACGACGCCTTGTATCGTATCATTTTCATTCATTCACGTTTCGTTTTCCTTTTACTTGTAACGTTGTCAGTGAACAGTGAGTACCTACTTGAGTACAATCTTACATAAATATTGCATAAATAAATTAGAAAACTAATATTATGGACAAAAAAAAAGAAACCCGGTGGTGCATTTAAACGCAAACAACGCCAAGAAAGAGGAGAAAGTAAACAAAAATTGCCCAAAATTGACAAGCTTTTTAGTCAGCCTTCTGCAAGTACTTCTGGATCAAATATTTCTATTGATAATTTTTGTAAATAACTTGCATGGCGATAGGTTAAATAACAGTAAGCGGGCGCAACGTATCTATGATTAAATAAATATATAATAAACCCTTGAATCTTTTCTATTTCGTTTTATTGCCCAATACCTACACCAAGTATAAAAATAATTGTAATTTATGTTGTTAGTGTTTAATAGTTTTATTACCTGCCTATGCACGAAAAAGAGCTGATGATAAAGTTGTTTAGCATTTTTAAAGTATTTGTATATTTAATGATTTTACTTCAAAAACCTTACCAGTTTTGATAGAAGTGGGCCCCAATTTTTTTATTTGCCCCAGGGCCCTAGATTACCTAGTTACGTCACTGATTGTAATGGTGGCATTTTATACACATCGCTGGCACCATGGACAAAAAACGTTGGGAAAAACAAAGAAAACAGGTGGATATAAAAGAAAACTGAAAAAAGAGTATTCTAATTTAATTGAAGCTTTTAAAAATCAAAATAAAAATGAAATAATCGTTTGATGATTATAAGCACTATAAGATACTTCTGAAGTGTTAAAACACGCCTGTACCTAAAATGGGAGTGTGTTATACAGTGAATTACGAGCTCTTAGTTTTGTGTCTAACCATAATATGATTAACAGCTCTACTACACTATATTTGAATACCTAATGCTTTAATTTTACGAGTCGCCATTTGCTTTCTTTTTCCATTTCTTACAATAATATTTAAAGTCAACTATGTCAGATGAAAAGGGGTAAATAATCATTTATTTTGTACACAGATGCCTATAAAAGCAATTATGTTGTTAAAACAATGCTAAAAGCCTAAAATTCAACAAAATTTTTTGCTACTAGGTTAAATTTTGGAACAAAAAGTTCAATTAGCACCTTTTTGTGGCTATTAGAATGCTTTTACCCGATTTTATTAATGCTATTATACAAAAGTTGTAGTGCTATTGCACAGCTTTTATAAAGCTTAAAGTCGTACAAAGGGGGGGGCCTAAATTTTAAGTATAAGAGTCGTTTAAAAGAAATACGGTTTATATACGATTTTATTATAATGCTTAACGCTTGGGCTCGTGCTATTATAAGTTTGATATAATGGTGTTTTGTGCTACTTGGGCTTTCACTCCATCCCCACTCTGGCTTAGAATATAAAAATAATACAGAATTAGGTAACTTACTTTACAGTGTCTCCTTGCCAGTTCCTAACATCGTATACTCAGCAGTATTTGCTAACATAAATATTAGCACTTTCGCTAGCCAAGTCTTCTCGTCGCAGCAAACGACCCATCCATCCCATCTATTCTAGTGTACCGCAGTGGTATTCTATTGTAAAACAGCCTCAAATTCGACGTTGAACGCAGCGCTGTTATAACATAAAGATATGATTAATGGAAACCTAATAAATACTTCAAAAGCTAATAGTGATGAAAGTTACACGAACCCTATATTAGATAGAGACGTAGACATTACTCTGACATGATACATATCTATGTAAACTTTGATTATTCATAAATATTTCAATTATTAATAAATTATTTATCTCTTGCCTTTTATGCTATCTATACTTTCTATTTTCATATGACGTCACGTTATTTCGACAAGGTTCCAGCGCATTAGCAATATACACGTAAGCTTGAAGTTTTTATATTGAAGCCATATTATATTAACAACTTAGTGATAGATGTGACTGTGTCATACATAATGCATGAGCATCGTCTCAAATACTGTAATAAGATTTTTTTTTTCATATATCTAAATTAACATTCTCATTATTACTTCATAATTTGACGTTGTCTAAATTAGCCTTTTCATCGAAAAATAAATTGAAACTTCAGTCTGTTTTAATTTGAATATTCTATAAAATAAAGAAAAGACGTTGAAAATCTTATAAAACTTTTTTCTTGTCTCGGGATTCTGCTGCCAACATTGAGCTGTCAGTTGTGTCAATCAATGGCATATAAGGATGCACGTAATAAAAATATACCGATAAATAAGGTATTGGTATTTTTTGTGGATTAATTAATTATCGATTAAAAAATCAATTCATAGTAATATCGTCAATTGTATGTTTCGTCACATAAAAGTGATCCCAACATATTAAGTGTCAAGTTTCTCAAATGAAATATAAGTACTATACCCTGTCTCAAAAGTGAACATAAAATGCGACTCTTTTGCGTAGGTTATTAATATTAATTTGAAACCAAAAATAAATGTAACCGTAAACGCATTATCTTGTTACCATCGCTTTGATATGTTTTCAATGTCATTCTGTGTATAATCCTAAATCTCAGTGAGTTTTTAATGCATCGTCTTGTAACCTATAAATAAGTCTAAACTATCATTAATTTTATCTAAAATTCGAGTGAGTTCAGTGCGGGGACTCGTCGAAAAACGATCTTGTCAAAGAAGTGATCCCTGTACAGGGACTTTTCGGTGCCTAAAAGACTTACGATTTGCATTACCCCCTAGGCATTAAAACTACATACAAGACGTGCATTTGAATAAGTCAAAAATGACACTATAATGCTAAATAAACTCGTAGACAATGAGAAGAAATGTGCAAGACTGCGTTTGGATAGAACTATTTGCAGGTTTAAATTATAAGCGAAATTTCAATTATTGTACATTATGTAATTAAGTACTGTTCAAATTATTGTACACACAGCTACACGTCAAGCTACCACAATATGTCAAATTTCTACAATTAATTTTGAACTGTACCTATATACCAATAAGGTTCAAAATCCAGTGAAGAAATTAGACATATCTATATACTATGATGTACTATTAATTGTGCATAAGCTGATGCTATTGTAAATGCACCTGAATGCAAAAATATATCAGGTACTTAATATTAGTTCCTTTTTTGGTTTATATCTTTCAGTTTTTATCCAGCTACGTGACTTTTTTTATTAGTGCAATGTACAGTCATTAACAAAATTATCAAATTTCTCCAAAAATTATCAAAAATATCGCAATTGATACTCGAAAATAATACGGGTGTAGATAGTAAACGATTTTTTTTTCTGGTAGTGTTTAATATACTATTACTGATAATCACACTTTTATGCTTATTATATTCTCTAAATTTCTGCTTATTATCTAGCCCCTTGGGACCCAGAAGGAGTTGCAAATAACCCACCGACGTTGAGGGGATCGGGTATGCGTAACGCATATCTTTTTGCGTCAAAAACAAAATAGGTCATCTATCCCACAAAGTCTAAAGACGAAAAGTCTTTACCAGTGCATCCTACCCGACAAACGGAACCGAAACGCGAATAAGTGATTCGTTATAGAACCAAAATAATTGTATGTCAATTAGCCCACCGAATTAGCAAGTGGCAATGGGCAGGCCACATTGACCGTAAAACCGACAGTTGGTGGGATAAACACACTCTAAAGGGAATCGGCAAACTTAGTGGGGATGCCTTAGACAAGGTGGGAAGACGACCTTCGCAAGGTGAGTAGCAGAAACACATTCTGTGTCTGAGTAACCGAAGTACGATTTCGCGGGCGTGATCTTGGAAGTATGTGTGTATCCACTAGTGGACGAATACAGGCTGATGATGATGATGATGATGATATTTTTTAAATATTTTTCTACATAATTATATTTCATGTATATCTATAAAATAAAAATGTCGCCAAAATATATCGATTTGATGAAAAGTATATCGATATTATGATATATCGATTATTTTTCCCAAACCTAGTCATAAATTAAATAATTTCATTTCATTCTGTCAAATGCTCGTGTACGCTCTGCTCGGTTTCGTTTGCGTTTTTATTCAATTATTGTTGTTTTCCTATGGTACAAAACATCGATCATATCGTTTAATAATGCAGTAAAATTTCGACCGTGAAATGTCTGAAATAATCAAAATTATTACGCAATACACTGGGTGACTTTAATTCCAAATTACACTTTCTTCGACGATGCGAATTAAATCTTCTGAGCAAGGTCTTAGTTTGTTCTTAGTGCGTTCAAATAAAAAAATATTGTAGTTTTAAATGTCTGAACTCATGTATGAAGAAGTCCCTTTATTCTTTAATTTGGATTTATTATTTATAGTTTTGTGCTAGTGAAGTGAAATTAAAATGGGGTCGACAGGTTTAACACTGGCTGATTTGCCAAATATTTTTATTATGATTGGAGCGTTGGTTGCATTATTTGCAATGCTGGTTATACTTCTCAGGTGAGTTTCAAAACTTTAATGGCACTCGTTTTTTGTATAGTGTTTGTTATGAAGTTAAAGCAGATTTAATTTGAAATGGTGCATACGCATATTCACTTCCTCGTTTCTGTTATTAGTGATAGGTGAGCACATATTTTGATAATTATTTATATTAACATTAAAGCTAGTTTGCATAATTGTTAACAAAAATGTAAGACAGAATCTTAGCTATTAAAAGATCATTAGTTGCAGTTTTATTAGCTAGTTGGTTATCACAAGTAATAACATTAACATAAACCCTGTCATTACCAAACCAATAATAACTATATATATAAATTGATTATATGTAACAAATAACTGACTCTGTTAGACCAAAGAGATTGCTTTCCATCAAAAATTAATGCAATCATTTTCTAAAATTGCAATGACAAATGGCTCTTTTGAATTATTCAGTTCAGTACAATAAATAGTAAACAACATTACATACATTACTCAGATTCCAAAATGAGTAACTACAGCACTTGAATTATGGAGTAAATGAAACAATGAACATGAAGACCTGACAATAAAAAGAAATTTACATTGACTCAACCAAGAATTGAACCTAAGTCCTCAGAGCTGATGAAAATTAGAAACCGGTGTATGAACCACTTGGTTTACGGAGATTGGAGATGATTCTTAATTGGTATTTATGATGTTTGGGACATTTGACTTTATAAATGACAATGAACAATTTGAAAGTCTTAATTTATTTCTACTGCAAATTTAGTAAAATAATACACTTCACTGTTTGATTAAATAAAAATATTATATATTCCTATAGGCAATATGTAATTAAATATTCAAAAATTTGACTTGTGTATTTTGTTCAAAGATTGTTAAATTCATTTTCCCATTTCAATATAAAAACTCAAGTATCAAACTCTATTATAATTCAGTAGTTTCTATTCTGTGTTGATAAATTATATACTTTTGTCATCTATGATTACAAGTTAATGAGGAAGTCTTAAAAAAAAGTTCCCGAAATCAAACTAGATGTCGCTACGGTACTTTCTTGATTTCTTCATGACGACTCTTCCAGTTATCTTTCATGTATAAAAGATGTCAGTTAAAAGGAACAGAAATGACTATCTTTGGTCCAATTATTTCCTGCAAAAATCAACTTTTGCTAGAGTAGCCATCTAGTGGAGGTGCTATTTAGCGTTTTCTTTTTATAAATACGTCTCATTATCATTGTATGCTGATTATTTTATAATGATGTCAATAATTATTTAAGATGATTTGAAACTATAATAATATGAGATAATACCATTTTGTTTTTTCATTTATTTTGTGCAAGTTAATGGATAATTAACCAATTAAATTTTTCTAGAAGAATAATAGTTCCCGAAAGTAAACATTTCATTGTTTTCATACTATGAGATTTAAACTTAAATAAAAACTAGTATAAAGTGTTTGACTAAGATAGGTATTACCTACATAATCAAAGAAAAAAAGGAAGTATTTTTATTATCTTTTCGATTTGAGATTTATATTCCACAAAGTCATGTCAACCCGATAAAAGAAATTATACAAGTTTTAATTTTTATGCATCTTTCTGGGAGTACTCCCAAGAATTTATACAAATTAGTACCAGTCCTACAAAGTTTATTAGTTTATATTCCTTTCTACACTAATTCCATTGATGGCAAACATTTGTTCATTTAAAAAATAAATATTATTAAATTTAGTAACATAAAAAATCTTTCAAGTACAAAATTAAATTACATTCCAAAAATTCTGGATTTAAGTCTATTGCTAGATTCATATTATGCTGGCTATTTGGAGCAACAAAACTAAAAACAAAATCATTCAATGGCCTCATCTTAACTTAATTAGGTGTCTGTGCTGCTTATTTATGAATGGCATATTTGTCCATAGGAACATGGAGGTGATCGGCGTGGTGGGCGAGGGGCGTGAGGACGCTTGGAGGCGTGCCATGCAACCTCCAAGGCTCCTCATGCAGAGGGTCCACATTCCATTCACATTCAAACTACAGGAAAGTCAACCTGTAGACTACAGCGGTAAGTGAATATTGTTTTTACTGATGCTGCTGATATAACTATTACTTCATGTGTTATTGTGTATTGTATTTTTTATGTATACTAAAATGCAGCATGTCCAATTATAAAATATCAATAACTAAATTCCTGTAATCTATTTTCAACCTTAATTCAGTTAGTAAAGAGCCCAAATACAAACAAACTCGCCAAGCAGGCATACAAATTAAGCTCGGCCAGCCGGTGCACCGCATTTAGTAGTAATTTTGCAGTTACTACGAACTATACGACTATATAAGAGATATTCTAATATTCTAATTTTTTTGTAGTAGAAGTTTAAGGAGAACTCAAAGAAGTGCCATCAAAAATAATTCTTTACAATTTTCGGTTTTATCAAAAAGTAAAGTACGATTTACAAAAATGAAAGCTGCTACCAACTATGCCAATAGTTATTGTGCAAAGTTAGAATTATTAATATATATTCAATTCCGAGATCAACGTCAAAAATTATCATTTTACAATTACAGTTAAAGGGCCCTTAGGTTTCACATAGATTCCAAAAAAAAACTTTTTTTTTTTCAAATATTTCATACTTTCGAATTTATCCAAATATTGATAAAGTAATAATAGTCTGTATCCATTCGTGTATTAAGGTCATATTTACCCTAGGGCCACAAAGGCAATGGTATTTAATAAGGGGTAGCGCAAGTAGCGCGATTCGTTCTTCGATCTTTTCTTATCATCATGTCACATAACACACTGCTAGATTTTACTAACATTTTTTTATTAATTTATGAGACGGCAGGCAAATGAGCCCGGTGCGTTGAATCACAATACGCCACTGCCTGCTTCAATGATTTATTTGCCGAAGAAGTGGGTGTCGTGTGGGCGCGTCCGATGGGATCGTTACTCAGTCACTCAGTACCCTGTACTGATAAATAATTCGCATAATAGGCATTACATGATCCGGGCATTGAACTCAACTTGTAAGCGCTGCCCGTCTACCATTTTCAAATTAGATCAAGAATTAAATTTATTAAGATGATTAGCTCTCTGAAATTAGTGCAGTTTATAGAACACTTAAGCGAGAGTTTAAATATATCTATAATATATAAAGCTTAATATATTATATAAAATTAACAACTAGCTCTGCTTTCCCCCGACTTCGTCCGCGTATATATATGATGTAGCTTCCTGTAAATGAAATTTAAAATCAATCAATCTATTCGATCATCATCACTAGCCTTTTTACGTCCCCACTGCAGGGGCTCAGGCCTTCCTTATGGATGGTAATATAGGAGGATGGGCCATGACCCTCCACGCTGGCCCAATGCTGGATCGCTGGAGGATAGTAACCCGCAAAACTGCAAAATTGTCAGCTTCAGAGCAGACCAAGCTGCTTATTTTTTTCGATAAAGCCTTCCGATAGCACGGAGTCGCATCGTAGATAAATAAGGTGTTCCTTAGGTCACCCATCCCGAAATGACCGATTCCCTTGCGAAAAGTATAAAGCTTTTCCACTTTAACGATCGCATTTGGGCCGCGGCGAGAGGTATCAAATCTTACCTCTAATTGCTTTCCAGCATATATGTTATACTATTAAAAGTCGTGAAAGGTAAATTTTATTATTCAAAATCATAATAACTTTAGAACCTTGTCGTGTTAAAATACCTAAGCAGTACCTAAGTCTCTTTTTTATTTTTACTCATTAGTCTCATTTTTATTCATACGTGTATGTTGAATAAAAAAGGTTACATTTACAACGCGTATTGTTAGTCTTTTTAATTATTCTATGTTCTTTCAAATAATTAAGAACAATCTGAAACGCCATAAAGTCCAGCATACTCGGTGCTATGCAAGTACTTTTGCAGTTTTATTAATGAACAAGGTTTAACGTTTAATAGGCTTGTGTCCTACAAGTGAAAATACAGGTTTTTGTTATATCTTCGAAAAATATGAACCATTTTAACTTATAAATGTTTAACAAAAGAAACTTTAAGTCACTGATTTTAAAAATATTACGCTTTGAAAACTTGAAAAAAGTAGAGAAAATCTACTACAAAAATTTGCTAAAATACATAAGGCATTAAATTAGATATAAAAAATGATACAACTTTCATTATAACAGCTATAAACATAAACGCACAAATAATAAAGATATTACAAAAATGTTCCAAACGCCCTTACATTTTTCGCTACTGTAGCACCGTGTGACGTCACTGAGTGCCTTGAATTTGTAGGGAGCGTTTTCGGCCAACTAGCAGCAGTTCTACAAACACAGCACCGTATCTCCGAAACTATTAATCGCAGACATGCTGTTACTTCGACATTATTTCTCAGATGTTAATGGACTATTTATTTATGAAATAAAAAAAAAGTTGTCAACTAGCCTATTAAATTTACGCTGAGACTGCACTTAGTATTAGTCAAAATTCATATTATTTAACATAAACTTAGTTAAGGTTAACCTAAATCGTAAACTATAACGAGTTTCTACGGGAGTAATATTTATTCCTAATAGGTTTTGCTTATTCTCTATATAATATGACTAAAATTGCATTTTTACCGTAAATTTATTCTGACGCTAAACCTTGTTTATTGTTAGCTAAAAATAGAGTCTAGTTTAGTGAGTAAATATTAAAGGTCATTGGACAATGTTATAGCCGTAACTTCTGTAAGGTATATTCGAGTAGCTCGAGTCGATTGCGCAGTCCTTAACTCGCGCGGTCTACAATCGCGCGGTTAAGCAATATTCGCGAAGCAATGGGGGGCCAAAATTTAAGATTCTCCGTACTACGAAAGGCCGACTGAATTTGGAGTGCCACCGCCTCTCTAGCCATAGGACACGACATCATAGCGATGTTAAAACGATATATCCTTGCATGCTACTACTTTGACATGTCGTTTATTCCTTTTTATATTTTATTTATTTACAATGGGCTCACTCTTAACCTCAATCTAGCCTAAAGACATAGATGAGATCTACGGTGGGACGAGCTCGCCCAGAAGCAACCTATTCACTCTTGTCCTAAATAAGTCTGGGTTATATGCACTTTTAATGGATAAACGAGTAAGCTGGCAGCACTGCTGTCAAACCATAATTATCATGCTATCAGTTGTCGTCAGCACAGCGTTGGATGATGAGTTATAATGTTATGACCTGTTCTCCCTGTTCAACTTGATAAAATAAATTCGCAGAAATAAATAAATATCTCATTAGGTTACTGAGAAATGAAAGCGGTGGCAGCGGGCGTCCCATTTAGGGTTGCCAGATTGTCCCGTCTTTTTGGAAGATGTACAGAATTTTGAAAAACATCCCGACAAAAGAGAAATCTGTGATCTAAATATTGCCGAATTGGAAGTCCAAACGTGAACACTCAACACAAATTTTCAATTTGCGTAGTCAGTTGACTAAAAATATTAGCACCTTTATACTAAAATTAACACATATAAAACTAGGCTTATTTGTTAAAGCAAAAACGTTATTTCATACAGTTTAAACCTGACGAGTCAATAGTGATGACGACTGATTGTTGTTTGTTTGTCTGTCAGGTTGATTGTCGAAAAATATAATACACGTATTTTTTTTTGTATTTTAAGTATTTTAATCATTAAATTCCGGGAATACGTTGAGTTAAAATGTCACATGACGTCACGCTTTGATACATTTTCTACAAAACTGTGACGTAGCTAGCCCTACTCCTCAACTATAATGCCTATTTCTTGTTGAATTGAAGTAAAAATTTACGCATCTAATATTTTTATATTATCTGACTGCCGGAATAAATATAATTTCTTTTTTTTTTTACCCAGTCGTCATCCCTATTGATTGTGATGGATGACGCTGGTGTGCAGATTATACATAATTAAAATGTATTACAGTTGTGTTGTGTTTAATTATATTCTAATACTAATATAAATATCTTCACGTCGCGGCCGAGCCCTCAGGGGTTAGGCAAAGATAGTAAGTGTTTTACCTCCTCAACGTTCATACTCTCTTTAAACATGCTCGCCAGTAACATGCCTTTAAAGCTTAAGACACCCTCCATATAACGCGATCAGTTTGAATATAATGGTGAGTCTTGGCTACGTCGACATCTACATCCTTCTGCTTTCGCTTTGTGGACAATAATTTTTGTCAGACATTATTGCTAGACATTAATTTTTGTCACTTGTCCAAACCAAGAGCATGCCGCTGTTAGTTTAGTACAACATTATCCATCAGGTCAGCTCATCATTCTTACCTCTTTATTACTTACGTAATCGTCGAATCTTATGTAGAATTTGCAGAGCTCGACTGCATTTATTTTGCTTACATTCTCCCTCTGATATATCCAGATTCTGCTATCGCTAAGCTTAGGATCTAATTTTACGCCCTTACATATGAAATTGGTGTTCAGTATGGAAGAAACAAAAAGTCGAACATTTTTTATATAATATATTTATTTAATCAAAGTACTCATATGAACCATTGTTATCTATGCACTTTTGTCATCTCATAGGTAGTTCATTGATGCCCTTACTAAAAAAACCATTCGGACGAGACATCAATAATATCTTTGAAGGCGATTTGCACTGCCCCATCGGAGTTGAATTTTTTCCCTTGCAAGAAGTTATCCAAATTTCGAATGGTAATCTTTTGGAGTAAGGTCCGGGGATTACGGTGGATGCCTTAGATATTCTAATTAAAGCTCTTTAATTTGATAGCAGTCTGTTGCGCAGTGTGTGGTCTAGCGTTGTCGTCAAATAGCAGCCTCGGTTGTTTAACAGCTAGTTTTTCCAGCATGGTTTGCAATTGCTGACAATAGACGTCTGCCGTAATCGTCTGACCAGATTTGAGAAAACTGTAATGAACGTCACCGGCACTAGTCCACCAAACGCTTACAAATCACTTTCTTGGGGTCGATTTTCGGTCGAAATTTCCAGAACGAAAACGTTGGAACCAAAAACGCACTGTGTTTTCTTTTGCGACACAACCGCCATACACATCATTAACCCTTCGAGCCGTTTCCGCAGCACTGGTA